TAACTCCCTCGGTAAACTTCAATGAGTTCTTGGACTGCTTCAATGAAACACTTGATAAACACTGTAAGCTTGATGTACCAAAAGTTACCAAAAGGACTCCCAAACTCAACCCGTGGATTACCGATGGAATCATTGTCTCAGTTGAAAGAAAACATGAACTCTGTAGAGACTGGTCAAGCACTGTAACAAATAGAAACCCTGAGGGTAATGTACTGCTCTATAAAGTCTTTAGTGACTACCGAAGAATGCTTAAAAGTATTTTCAAGGTCGCCAAACGATCGTACTACTGCAATGAAATCCATAAAAATATAGAAAACAGCAAAAAAACGTGGCAGATAATCAATGAGCTCAGGGGCAAGAAAAAGAAGCAAACTAAGCCTCCCTTTATCATAAACAACGAACGAATCATGAATCGTAGAGTCATAGCCAATGGATTCAACTCTTACTTTGTTTCTATTGCCCCTAAGCTCAATGAAACACTTAGTAGCAGTGAGGCCTCTGGTTTACCAATTCTCCCTATAAAAACATTCTATGATTTCCTTGGAAAGACTAATGAAAAATCGATTATGTTAGAAGACTGTACACCTTATGAGATAACGGAAATAATAAAAGGATTTGAAAATGGAAAAGCAAGTGATATTCCTGTTAGTGTAATCAAAAGATCATCTCACGTAATTACACCGATCCTTAGTCGATACATCAACATCTTAATGTCTAATGGCACGTTCCCCGACGTTCTAAAGACTGGTAGAATAACTCCTGTATTTAAGAAGGGAAACCCTGAAGAAATAGAAAACTACCGCCCAATCTCTACTCTCTCTATATTTGGTAAAATCTTTGAAAAGATCATTTACTCAAGAATATATTCGTTTGCTAGCTCACAGGGTATAATATCTAAAACACAATTTGGCTTCAGGCAGTCACACTCTACTTCACATGCAGTTAATCACTCAGTAAACCTTATAACTGAATCTCTAAAACTTAAGCATCATGTCTTAGGCATATTCATAGACCTTAGCAAAGCTTTTGATACAATAGATCATGGTACATTACTTGTCAAATTACAGGGCTATGGGATACGTGGGGTGTCAAATGATCTTATAAAAAGTTACTTAACAAATAGATCACAATATACTAAAGTTGTTTGTGAGAAATCTGACGCCTTGAAAATACAGTTTGGAGTCCGTCAGGGTTCGATTCTTGGACCTCTCTTATTTCTCCTATATATTAATGATATCGCCAACAGCTCCAGTTTGGGATCATTTGTCACCTTCGCTGATGACACCAATATATTTGTGACTGGGAAATCTAAAAAGGAGGCATATATGCGTGGTAATTCTCTTTTAGCTAGTTTATATTCCTACATGCGAGCAAACAAACTCCATGTCAACTTGTCTAAATGCTGTTTCATTCACTTTAAACCAGCATCGTCCTCCCAGACTGACAATAATTCTGAATATACTCTAACCATTGATAACTTTCCAATAAAACAAGTTGCATCTGCTAAGTTTCTGGGAGTCGTCATCGATGAAAAGCTAACCTGGGAAGAACATATAAAATCACTTAGGCGTTCTCTCAGCCATGCAACATCAACTCTCTGCCGCCTACGCTGCTCCCTCCCAGATTTCTTACACCGCCAGTTGTATTACACTCTATTTGAATCACACCTCTCCTATTGTATCACGGTTTGGGGTGGGGCAGCCAAAACTCGTATAAGTTCTGTATTCAAAGCACAAAAATATTGTCTCAGGGTACTGTTTGGCGACAGGGAGGCATACCTAGATAAATTTAAGACCTGTGCTCGTGCTCGACCGTTTGGCAACCAAAATCTGAACAAAACATTTTTCTTGAAAGAGCACACGAAACCTTTGTTCAAGGAACACGGAATACTTGCCGTCCAAAACCTGTACACTTACCATTGTTTCCTTGAGCTCTATAAAATCATGAAATTCCGTGCTCCGATTTCCCTCCATGAAAATTTCACCTGCTCAAGTAGGAAACCCACCCTTATACTAAGCCAAGCAGACCCCCCTGACAACTTCAATAGCAGAACGACTCGTATTTGGAACGTAATTGTGCCTAAGCTTGGTATACGTGACTACTGTCTAAGTGTGGCCTGCCTGAAGTCTAGGATGAAGCAATCACTGCTCGTCAACCAGCATAACCATGCTGATCTTGATTGGACAAACAAAGATTTCGAATGCTCTAATCTAAATTTTGACATTAAGTCTACCCTAGGGTCCACACATCCAAAATGATTATCTTGAAATTGAAAATTAGCTGGGTGTGCATTTTCCTTTGTCTTACTAACGTGTGTGAGCGCAGTGTAGCGAGAAAGTGTTTTTAACAGATTTATTATTAGACTTAGGATTATGATTTTTAATATATTACATTGATATAAGATTTATTTTTGATAGGTACTTAATAAAGTTGATGAATTTCCCTCCCTATTAAAATTTTAAACCCATTTAGTGAAAATTGATAAACGAAGATCTAGATATTGATACATATTATAACCAACATTGCTTATATTCTGCCTTGTAAACAAAGAGCAAATCTTCTTAATGCCTTCTTCCTGTCCTAAAACTAAAACTTCATCCTATTAAAGTAAAGGCCAGTTGTTACCACAAGCTATTATACCGTCCCTCTCAAAAACATGCCTCAGCCTCCATCAAAAACAATTTTAGTTTTCAGTCCTTCTAGTTTCCAAAAATCTACCGAGCTAGTGTTCTGGTGTGCACAAAAGCCCCTAAGCCCGTGCATTCCTTGCCCCGCTAGCTGCCAGTCCTTGACAAACTTCCAATAGCAAAGATCAACTAGTCATTTACAAATTGAGCACTATACAATTTTAATTGTTTTAAATATTTGACTTTGTAAAATGAGCTAAAACATTGATTTATTAGTTTCATTGATTTATTAGTTTCATTGAGATATCCTACGAGAAGCGTTCATTTTTTGAACTGCCATAAGTTTGACTCTAAATTGACCCCGAACCAAATAATGATCGGAGCCAATGTCTGCACCCCTGCATGATCTTACGTCAAGTAGAGAGTGACTCCACTTGGTAGAAATACAGACATGGTCAATCTGATTTACTGTGCGGCCATCTGGAGACTTCCAACTTCCTTTATGAATATCACGATGCTGGAAAAGCGTCCCACCGATTGTCAGCTGATGTAATGCACAGAAATCTAATAGTCGAAGGCCGTTGTCATTTGATGAAACGTGAAGGGAATGCTTACCAATCACACCGGACCAAGCTGAATTATCTTGGCCAATGCGAGCATTTAGATCTCCAAGTAAAAACTTCACGTCATGAGCTGGTAGTTCATCAAATGCCCCAGATAGCTGCTGATAAAAGTCATCCTTTACCCCGACTGCTGCATCCTCAGTTGGAGCATAAGCTATCACAATCGAAATGTTGATATGTCGACTGTGCAGCCTCGCTGCAAGAATACGTTCTGATATCGGACTGTATGAAATCAATGAATTTTTAGTCTTCTTCGAGAGGACTAAACCTACCCCTTGTCGTCTGTATCCATCACTTCTTCCTGAGTTAATAAAGAGGGACCCATCATCCAAGGTAACCTCACCAGTGCCGGGTCTGTGCGTCTCTGTCAGCCCCAAGACATCCATTTTATATGCTGACATATTCTGTGACAATTCATACAGCTTTGAGGAACTGCTCTCCAATGATAAAACATTCCACGTTCCCACATTAATGCTGTGTTTGATAAAGTTGCATGGGAGTGCTCACTGCTCTCCCCTTCTCCGGGTCCACATGAGTGATATGCTGTGAACTAATAACACTGTTGAAATAAGGCGACTTCTTTGTTCTCATCTGCACACTCGGGTCCTTGCGGCTTTGCCCAGAGCACTTCATCCTGGCTACACCCTTCCTTGAACTCCGAGAGTCACTCCACTTTTGGTTATTCATTGATGTTTCAGTAGCTATTTTAAGGTTGAAGGGTAGCTGGCCCCTCGAACCTGGTAGTTTTTTATCGACCTTTACTGGTCTAGATCCATAGTTTTTTGTTGCACCTCATCTGTTTAAACTGGAATCACCCAGAACAGATTACTGTACTTAATAGTGGCACCTCGTAAAGGGTGTACTATGGTCATTGAAATAGGAGAGGTTATAAGTTACACGATCACTATTTCCTGAGATTATAAAAATCTCTTGCCACCAATTATGATTGACATTCTCTAAAAATTTGAAGCAAAAATATTATTCAGAACGTAAGTTATGGCGCTTTTCCATTCTAAAATAAAATAATTATCTAGATCTCAGCGAGCTGTAACAATTTTAAGAGATAAGGATGGGTAGTCTTTTATGGGCCACCCTGTATAAACTATGAAGGTTGTTTTGCATTTCGCCGTTCATTTTTGTTTATCAGTAATAAAATTGTTGATGATTGGTCATGGTCCTCATTCTCCCATGTCACTTAACAGTTAACACTGCTCTGATCTTTAGTTCAATTGTTATTTATTGAACATAGGTCGGTTTATTATTGTTTTGAATATTCCGCCTTTACTTTCAGTGCATGAAATTTAAACTTCATCGCACTTATAGTAACTTGCTATTCCTTCACAAAGATCAACGGAAACATTGAAATATTAAACATATTATAAACGGTCGTAACATATACTTCCCTGCTATTCTTGAATTCTGAGGAATACACGTGATCACTTTGCATAACTTTCATTGGCTAAGCCGAAATTTATAAACCACATAAATAGTTAATTATTAAAATCACGGGGTTTTAAGTCTGGTGACTTGAAACTTCAAAGCGAAATTATGGTAATGTATAGTGGCTATATTTAAATTACAATTCTAATATCATAATATTGAAATATTCTTGTAGGGATAATAGTCTAATCAACTAAACGGTGTCTGGTGTTAGAAAGCGAGTTCTCTGCGTGAATTATTCTGCGTTGCCGTACTCGGATATCCAGAGGATAAGTAATTATTAAATTAAAAAGTAACTAAATCTACCAAGGTGGCGTTTAAATCTACAGCTGAACTGCTGAAATCTACCTCTCCTGATTTTCTGAAGAATGCAGGGACCACTATGAGAGAGACTCTTAAAACTATGAAGGTGTCAGATCTCATCCAAAATGAGGTATTTCATCTTAACTTCTTTTTTGACAATGCACCAAGTTGCTAGGCATGAAAAAAAATGACGGACGTGAAATTCCTATTTTAATTACTTAGGATTGTGATGTTCAAGTTTCAACTTTTTAAATTATGGTGTTGGTCGAATATTGCTGTAGCACTAGCAGGTAGCTTTAATTTTTTAATCAATACAATTCTGAAACACATGCCTACAGTTAGTCTCAGCAATACTGCACACGAACTACAACCAAGGCCTAGAAGTGAACGGGTTTGTTGGGTTCATGACTGTAGCTGGAGGCTTGGTGGGATCTCTATGGAGAGTTGATGGAGGTAATCTCAATTAATATTAATTGATTTAACGTATATTTTAATATTTATAGGGATAGTTTTGACAGTTAACCGAGTCATAAATTAGGTTGAAATAATGTAGTGAAGGCTTTCTAGGCCATATTCTTAAAATAGAAAATTCTAAACTTAATAAAGAACATTATTATCAGGTAACTTTCTCCTGCCACAACATGTATTAGAGGAGAGTGGCGCGGAGTTAGTTAAAAGCAAAGTTAGGAGTATCATACCATCTGATGACAAAGAGGGTTATAATGTGACCTATAGTTCATCTGGTGACACGGAAGAGTTGGAGACAGAAGAATTTGACGCAGTGGTTCTTGCAACTCCGCTTCATAATGCTGATATAGAGCTGCCTGATGGAGTGGATGTTGCTGGAAACACTAAACCCTTCCAGAGAACACTTGCAACCTTTGTTAATGGAGTTCTAGCTCCTGTTGTTCCTGGGGAGAAAAATCCTGCAGATATTGTCACTGTCACAAGCGAAGACAAGCTTCATTTCACTTCAATCAGCTTCTTAGGATCTGCTGACAAGGACTCCAACTACAAAGTGCTTTCCAAAGAACCTCTGACAGATGACCAGATGAAGAAGCTGTTCTCCAAAGTGAACGAAGTTAAGGTTGTTGACTTGAAGGCGTATCCTAAATACTCAGTTCCTGATACCCTCCCTGACTTCGAGTTAGCTCCGGGGCTTTACTACGTTAACGCGATTGAGTCAGCTGCTTCAGCGTTGGAAATGCTCTGCATTGGCAGCAAGAATGTGGCATTGCTGGTCTACCAGAATTTAGAGAATGTCGAGAATGTAGATTCTGATACTGTGTGCCAGCACAAGGATCTGCGTAAGGCTAAAAAGGAGCTATGATGTGACTTTCACTCACCTCTTGAAGTATTTTATTTTCCAGTAGTTTTAGTTTATTTAACTTCGGTACTTGTAGCTGGTTTCTCTTGTAGTTGTATACATGCGTTGTGCATTGTTATTGTGGTTTGTTTTTATAATCAGTAATTCAGAAGGTCATTTTTAATCACTTGGTATTTCTATCATGTATATTAATCAAACATTTTTAGATTGTACAATTTACATAAAACATATATATTGGAGGGATTTATCCTCATTTTTTACTGTTGACACATTAATGTTTGTTTAGTTAAAAATTTGTATTATTGGGTTTCACAGTATGTAACATTGTATATATTAAAGAATATGATTTATAAGGTAATTTATTATTCAAATTTAGGATTATTCTCAGGAACCGCGACATTTCATTGCTTGATAAAAATTAGTTTTTCAGATAAGAATATTATATACGATTGTAAGATTAAGTTTGCATCCTACTACCAAAGTCTCTACAATCTATACATTATAATATGTAGTCATTTACTTGCTGTGAAAACGAGTGTGGGCCTAATCACGATCCTATTGGTACACCATATCATTATTTAGTATGGAGCACGTGCGATACTATTTGTAATAACTGCTCTTTCTTGATTTATGATATTATCTAATAATACTCTTTTGTTAGCATCATGTCACAATTCCAGAATATACTGTTCGTTGTTCTTGTTGTCAGTGTCAGTGTAGTGTCATCACACAAGATAGCAATAGTGGGTGGTGGAATTGGTGGCACCAGCAACGCCTTCTTTATCAGACAACTTCTCGGAGATGAAGCTGAGATTAAGGTTAGTTTCCGAGGACAGTTTCTTAGGTCGGGACGAGAGAAATTTCTCCAACTTCTTCGATTATAATCTTTGTCAGGCCGAGTATTTTATATCAAAAGCGAGGAATTTCCTCTCTTAAAGCTGTCGGCTGTTACTGCCTTACTTGTTAAGAATTTATGTACTAATTGAAAACGCGACAGATATTTGAAAGAGAAGAAGTGGGAGGGAGATTACGGGAAATGAAGATTTCAGGAAAATCTTACGACAGTGGTGGTTCCATTATTCATTCTGAAAACTTCTACGCTAAAGCTCTCACTGAAAAAGTTGGTAAGAGGTCTTATTGCTGCGAAACAAGTCCACTTAATACACAATTATAATTTATACGCATCATTATTTATTAATCATATTACGCGCACGGAATTACTAAATTTAGTCTCAAGAAAAAATGTGTTATCTTACCAATCTTAGCATCGCTCCTTTTATATATACAATATACATGTATAATATATTTTTTGTATCTTTCGAAAAGTGTGTATACCTACAAGTTTTGGAAAGATAACAAATAAAAATCACAGGACTCAAAGTGGATAATTTAGACGATGACTCAGACTCTGGTGGGGCCGGTTTTTATGACGGAACAGAGTTTGTTTTGAAACTAACTGGCTCCTATTTGGACACATTCAAGTAATTCTCACTGTTTAGCCATGTCTTTTTTTTTCTAGTTGGCCAACTTATGAATAGATTTTTAGAAAACGATAAATTTTTCCAAAAATAGATTATAATAAATAAATTAAAAATTTATATTCGAACTTTTAACATTGAAATATGACTTTATTGTATCGCCATTATCTCTATTAATATATCAGAATCCTGTGGAGATACGGTTTTGGTATAAGAGGTCTTGTAAAAGAAGGAGAGAAAATGTTGAAAAGCCTCAGACGAATCTACTGTCTACAAAATAAACAAGTGAGCTGTTTGAGGTTCTTCCTCACTCAAATTGGATATTTGGGATTCTCTCATGGCGAATTTTGTTCACTACTTTTACTATTTCATTTCGCTTATCAGGCACTGAGTCGCCCGTTATTTGATGGGTCTTTATGAGTGCCATCATCATGTAATTATTTATGATCGGTTTTATAGCAACTTTTTCAAAGATACTATCAATGTTTATTTAATTTAGGTGGCATTCAAATCTACCACTGACCTTCTCAACTCCACGTGTCCTGATTTTCTGAAGAAAGTGGGATCCACCATGAGGGATAGTCTTACGAGTCTTGGTGTGTCGGATCTCATACAAAATGAGGTATTTTATCTGGATTCTCGGTCGAAAATTAGTCTTCTTGAGTTATTCCTGAAAACAACTGTTGGACCATTATTAATATTTTATCGCGAGTTTTATTCCAAGATTTGGACAACATTTTAAATTGCCATTAATTACAGATAGTAGTGGCAACTCTTCACTCTAATTACAACCAAGACCTGAATGTGAACGGGTTTGTCGGGTTCGTGTCCCTAGCCGGAGGGTTGGTAGGATCTCTGTGGAAAGTTGCTGGAGGTAATCACAGTAGATGATTCATCATTATAATTATTATATACACACTAATTACTATGTGACATCGATTAGACGAGTTTTAGTAATTAATATCACATTACACTTCAATTAGATGTTTAATTTTTATGCCAGGTAATGCAAAGACAAGTTTATAAATGTAAAGAGCATTCCAGGAATATTTAGTATTTATTAATTGATTTGTTATCAGGTAACTTCCTTCTACCACCACGACTAGTTAAGGAGAGTGGCGCGGAGTTAGTCAAAAGCAAGGTCAAAAGTATACTACCATCTGATGACAAAAAGGGTTACACTCTGACATACGCGTCTGGTGACACGGAAGAGTTTGAGACAGAAGAATTTGACGCGGTGGTTCTTGCAACTCCGCTTCATAATGCCGATATAGAGCTACCTGATGGAGTGGATGTTTCTGGAAACACTAAACCTTTCCAGAGAACACTTGCTACCTTTGTCAATGGAGTTCTAGCTCCTATCGTGCCTGGGGTGAAAAATCCGGGAGATGTTTTAACCGTGACAAGCAAAGACAAGCTTATTTTTTCTTCTATTGGGTCCAAAGGATCTGTTGATATGGATTTCAACTACAAAGTGTTCTCCAAGTTACCCCTGACAGAAGATCAGATAAACAAACTCTTCTCAAAAGTTAACGAAATCAAGGTTGTTGACTGGATGGCGTATCCAAAATACTCAGTTCCTAACAGTCTCCCTGACTTCGAGTTAGCTCCGGGACTCTACTATATCAATGCAATAGAGTCAGCTGCTTCCGCGATTGAGATGTCTTGTATAGGGAGTAAGAATGTTGCACTGCTGCTTTATCAGTATTTAGAGAATGTGAGGAATGTGGATTCAGGTGCTGTTTGTCAGACTGAGGAGATGGAACAGTTTAAAGAGGAGCTTTGAATTTATTTTCGGTTTTAAGAAGATTTTTTCTAATAAGTTTTGCGCCATTTTTTAGATTACTTGTCTTATTGATTTGCTTATGTTTGTTTTTTTGATTAGTTATAATTTTGTCATGGTTTTTATAAGATTTTTTGAATATGTTTGAAGTAATAATAATAATTTTTAAACTCGTTTCTAGCAAGTGCTAACACTTTATTCATTGTGCTAATTTATGCTCGGATTTGAAATGTTTTAAGATAGCAACCTGTTGAATTTTAAATTCTTAATTAGTGTCTTCAAATTTAAATCCTAGTTTGAGCCGATTTGACAGTTTAATATCCACTGCAGCAATGAGTTAAGGCAGGATGAAGAAGAGTTCAGAGCCTCCAAGTATTCCTGATTTCACTGGTAGATGGGTGTTAGACCGGACCGAACTGTTGGAAGAGTACATGAAACAGAGCTTAGGTGAGACAAACTAACAAACTAACAAACTAACAAACTAACAAACTAACAAACTAACAAACTAACAAACTAACAAACTAACAAACTAACAAACTAACAAACTAACAAACTAACAAACTAACAAACTAACAAACTAAAAATCAGTTGTTAAAATTATTATAAAAAATTAAATTTATTTAACAAGACATTTATTAAAAATAATGTAATTAATAACTGAATACAGGCAAATCAACGAACTGATCATAACTTAATATAACATACTAGTTAGCACATTTTCTCCGTTACAGGGACAGATCACGTGAAACACAAGTTTCCTAAAGATATGACTGTTGTTAATGAGATTACTCAAATTGGAAACAACTTCCGACTCAAGGTAAAGTACCAACTAGTACTACTCCATTCCCACATTTCTTGCCTTACTTTTCAGTTTAGTTTTAACTTGTTTTTACCATTTGGTTTCATGTACATTTCACACCTCTTCCACCATCTGTAATTCCTTCACCGATAACGTTATTTATAGAAACATTGAAACAAGTAATATAAAATTAACGGTATAATTATTTAAACTGTAATACAACTTATATATTATATAATTTATAAGTTTATCAAATTTCAAAGTTAAAATATAATGAACAGTCAAAAACTTTTGCTGAGTACAGTTAATGTCATTCCACAATCATTCATGATCAATATCTTTTGATTAGGTAAAGATCATCTGGTAGATCGTTATCTTTTTTAACATCAGAAAATAATTTTCATGATAAACCATATAATACATATTATTGGGATACAACGTGATACATTATGATGTTATGACAGTTCTGAAGTAACTTATCTAACTGAAAAGCTCTAATAATAAATTCAATAGCAATAATTGATTTAAAGTAATATCGTGCATACAGAAATAAATATAATAAAGTATAATTCATATGATCCCAGGTGCTGTCACCCGCCGTCCGCGTCAAGGGTGTAGAAGGGGGGGGGGGGGGGTGACATCCCCTCGGCCCTCTCCCATAAAATCTGGGCAAGGGGCCAAAAAGGGCCAACTTTTTAATTAAGGTTTAAAAAATGTTCAAAGTTTTCTTGGAAACTACTTTTGTTACCCTGATCATTATGAGCCGAAAATATTTTTTTCTGTTTTCGAAGTTCGCACCTACCGTTCCCCTCGATATCCCTCGGTACATACGATTTTGGACTCGAGTGTTCCCCTTTGTAATGCGATCTCGGAAGGCAGGCCTCCCCTTCGCAATACGAGCTTGGAAGCGGGAGCTCTGCCTTCAGAGGTACGTATCGAGAATGACTCGGACCGAATTTATCTGAGTCAAAATTTTTCAAAATTTTTCTGGAAACTACTATACTTTTGTTCATGTTTCATGCTACCCTGATCATTCTGAGCCGAAAATATTTGTTCGGTTTTCTGAAGTCTGTACCTACATTCGGAAGGTTGTGGATGTGATTGGTTTCATATACTAATTATAGAAAACGTGATATTTGGCCCACAGATTTGAAGGAAAATACGCGAATTTGGTCCTCAGATTTAAAGGAAAATGCAGAATTTGATATTTGAAGTAATAATAATAATTTTAAAAGTCGTTTCTAGCAAGTGCTAACACTTTTATTCATTGTGCTAATTTATGATTTTTTTAAATAGCAGTATTCTTCTCATTCGCCACATTTCATTGCTGTTTTCCGTAATACTATATTCCTAGACATATTACATATATTCAAGTAAGAACAATGCTCGGATTTGAAAATTTTTTAAAATTTTTTATCTCAACACTTATTTTACTTCGGACATTCCAACAGCCACATTGTTACACAAGTGTGTAACCAGCCAATTACAGGAAGCCGAAGGATTCAATTATACATAGCAACCTGTTTAGTTTTAAATTTTATTAATTAATGTCTTCAAATTTAAATCCTAGATTGAGCCGATATGAAGAAGAGTCCAGAGCCTCCAAGTATTCCTGATATCTCCGACAGATGGGTGTTAGACAGGACCGAATTTATATAATAATACAGTTCTGTCCACGCGCCGTTTTGTCACCCGCCGTAATATCACCCGCCGTGATGTCACCTGCCGTAATATTACCCGCCGTAATGTCTTCCGCTGTGGTGTCCGGTTCTAACGTTAGCGCCTTTAATTTTAAATCATTGGTTGATACTCTTTCTTTAGCATCAGATTTCTCCAGGTTAGTAGATCCTATAATGTAAAAGCTTGCAAAAATAACATGATCCCAACCGTATCTTATCGGGAGTGGAGTTTGATAGAGCCCAACCTCGTCAATCCTACAAACATCTTTGTGGTGTTTAAGTTCGTCTAGAAGTTTATCCGTAAATACACACTTGCCTCGCTTGTATCCACATACGATTACTGAGCAAAACAATCTTGCCCTCGAAATTGCCTGGTACAGTAGCGCAATGGTGTAACCGGATGGTTTGCCAATCTCCATATCTGACGTGGAGATGAAAGCAGGCCATTCTGCAGACATAAAGTCCACCGGCGTTCCAATTGTTATTTTGTCTTCTTCGTTACTCCATTTCTTCAATACTGTGTCGATAACATCTAATGCGTCCTTATTTTCATTTGAATCGACTTGTATTGCTATATCCTTGTTTTCAAGACCATCTCCAGATCCTTTTAGCTTATTTAGTTCCTTGTTCAGAATCTCAGACAAAAATTTGTTTTTACTACGGTCAGTTAAGTATATAGTTGGCTTTGTTCCACGTATATAGTGGCCCGATTTTTGTTGAGGAAGGTTAACTGATTCTGTCCCTGCATAAAATTCCGTGGTGATTAAATTTTCTCTGATTACTGATAATGAGGTAGATATTTCATACGCATTCCGTAGATTTACCATTAAACGTTTGGTCACAAAGTGCCTCTTTGTACTCTTGATATCGTCTCTCAGCTGGGCGTCATTGGCATTAAGAATGGGAAGCTTAAAACCGTAGACCTGAGCGTCATCGTTAAAAATCCATATTGATGTATCTGAACGATATCTCACAATTGGAAGCAGGCCTTGTTTAATGATAGTATTATGGACGTTGCTGTGAATATGAGTGTCTTGACGCATAGCGTCGTTAAGGAACTGAAAGTCGTCTATGAAAATGTAATCGAATTCAATTAATAAACGGTCCATATTTTTAGCTAATGAGGGTTCAGCAATTGTCAGCAATATGATAGTATTGATAGATTTCAATCGGCGAAGAGATGTGAGCGTATTATTCAATTCATCGTTTTCCCATTCTATACCATTAAATGACATATGTGCACACGAAATGTCATTTTCAAGGTTGCTGAGAATCTTCATGTGACTTTTCATTATTTCACACCTATCTTCTAAAATTATCAAAAGAATTCTTCTTTCTGGTAAAGATTGAGTGATACGGACAATTTTTCCCAGCATTACGACCGTTTTGCCAGACCCAGCTGGTCCTTCAACCCACTGAAATGTTTCAGTGCTTTCGAAAACACCAAGTTGGTCAGTTGTCAAACAGCTCACATTAAGATAGTTTTTAAAGACATGTGGGGCTTCAACCATTGAAGAATTTTCAGGATAATTCCTATTTTTCATCTTATCTCTTCCCAAAGAAGCTTCATCCAGGGCTTTTCGTGTGACCAGCGACCTTTTGAGTTTATCATTTACGTCATGGATGCTTCTAGGTAAACTACATTTGAGGATATCCCATTTATTATTCTGTTTGATGGTCCACAAACCGAGAAGACAGCTATTCATCTGATCTCTAACACCTGTGTTCAACTGCGGCGAAAATAGTTCAAATTGTTGGACTATCCAGTCCAAGTTATCGAGATCGTCTCTATACAACACAGTTTCATCTGATAGGTACTGTTCACCAAGTTCTGCACTAGAAAGATTGCTAAAGACAGTGAACTCATAAACCTTCACTGAGTTGTCGATGGATTGAATTAGATTTCTCATCCTCTTCCTCTGTCGAAAAGCATCATCATAACAACTTTTAACTTTCTTTCCATGTTCTTCCTCATTATCAGTGTAAGATAATCCTTTGACCTCAAAGACAGCAACGAAGTTATCTCCGCTGATAACAAAATCGCACTCTCCTTCAGTTTGGTTCTTTTTTTTATGACACGGATGATCTTTAGGTCCTTTTTTACACTTTTTCTGGTTGCAAAGATGCTCTGGTAAGAAAGCAGAGTACTGATCATGTGTAAAATCTAACTGGTGAAGAACAATAACATTCCATTTTGACTCTATCTCCTCAAAACGTCTAAATAAAATGACTTCAGCTTCATATCCATCTTGAAGCCGTTTTTCAGAGGCAGTCATTCCCTCCAGCACATAATCCTCTGAGAGTTTGTCGATAAATTTCGAATCCGGTATCGGTGGTATCATAACCGGTCCTACAACATCACCATTCCCCTTACGATACCTGTCCAGGACTTCTTTACCAACCTTTTCCTCCAGTATCTTGCGAAGTGATGCCTGAATAAAGGTCATGCTGTTAAAAGTTTGCGTTAAAATTTAAACAGTGAGTTTCAGTCAGATATCATAGCCAAGCGTATAAAAAAAACAGTGAGACAGAATTGAGACAGAATTGGAACAAATTTGGAACACCTTTTGGGGCAGTAATTATGCCTGGACTGACTTTAAATTGATCTGGCAGTGGAGGGGCATGTTTACTGACATATTCATGCCCCCCCCCCCCCCCTAACATACTCAGAAGTGCCAAATGATCCCCTGTTTCATGAAATAAACGAAATGAACAAAAATGAACTTTACCCTAAAATCACCTGAACTGAGCTGAAACCGATCAGAATCGATTGGTATCGATACCAGAAGTGTCATTGAAAATTTTGGTGGCCCTAGCATGATCAGAAAAGACTTTGGGGGCAATGTTCCATTTTGGTTTCAGAGTAATTGAGATTCTGGAACAGAATTGAGACACATTTGGAGCAGGCTTTTGGGGCAGTAATTATGCCTGGGTTTCAACTCAGTTCAGGCGATTTTAGGGTAAAGTTCATTTTTGTTCATTTCGTTCATTTCATGAACCAGGGGATCATTTGGCACCTTTGAGTGGCTGAACATGTTAGTAAACATACCCCTCCACCATAGCAGATCGATTTTTCTTGAAGAATCTCAGCTACCTATGAATCGTAATAAAAATAAACTTAGCAATAGTTCCCAAAGACTGTTTAAATTGATCACAATTGATAAATTAGCATCGAAAATACCTGATTGTTGACAACTGTGATAGAGGGTGCAATGCCAAAATGCCTGGAAAAATGCGTATTGTAAGTGTATGTAAAACTTGCACTGGCACTACGCAACAGTACAAATTATAAAATCAATTTCGCTCAGGCCTCTCTCTCTCAAATTAATTGAACGCATT